TTCTTTATTAGCCCATGTACACTGTTGAGAACTGAAGGTATGTGAGTACATTGAGGTTGTGCACTAATGCTGTCACCACAGCTCGTATAAGTCCCACTAAGTGGCATATGAAATTTGTCCCGAAGGACCACTATATTATCCCGAAGGACTGTTGTATTGTCCCGAAGGACCACTGTATTATCCCGAAGGATCACTGTATTGTCCTGAAAGACCACTGTATTATCCCGAAGGACCGCGTAGACCCTCGACTCTTGGCATGCCAACTATACCTATAGCTCTCGTATCATATAACATGGGCATTTTTCTTATGCTTCATATATTCATGTACTCATATCATTGCTCTTATGATCACATATCACATGTGCATATAATCACGTAATTTACTTTCATGTAATTCATATCACTTTTCATATGATTTCATTTCATATGTCACATGGCTCATATCACTTTGCATAGTTTCACATAAACATATATATATCATATCTTGTTGACATATATTTCCCAAATACCTCATATCATTTGATTCATGTCTTATTCTTATTTCATCATATATGTCATCTATATTCATTCACTTAATCTCATATGTTCATATATCACATAGCATATAGAATAACATATCAGACATAGATCATATATAGTGATGCATATAACGTATAATCATGTAAATTATGTCACATACAATAACATTGGAGGAATTACTTCTTACCATAATAACTTCGTCACTGGCTCATCGCAAGCTAATGTTTATTCAATAACATAAGTACAATTAAATTGCACTCACTTTAGCCTTGCTTTGATTCGATCTTAATTCTTTGATTATTCCGAGAACTTGTTTAGGCTCAATATCTACATAAACATAATTTTCGAGATAATTACCAGAAGCCTAAAGCTTAAACTTGATGTTAATAACTTAAGCTAGTTTAATGAATCAACATTCTATTTTTTTATTTAGGGGATATCGATACCCTCCATGGGGTATTTGTACCCCCTGCATAATATGGAATTTTTACCTAGAAATTATTGTTCAACTATGAAAATTCACTATTTCCAACTTCAATTCTTCATATTTCATCCCCGTTTATATTCTTAACTCAAATACACATACTTAAATAATTTATATCAATTTATCTCATCTTAAACCTCAAAATCCCATTTTTCATATGGAATCAATAATCATACCCAAATTTTCAATATGTTCTAATTTCAATTCTAACACTTTATACTTCTTAATTAAGCTGATGACAAATCAAATTTAACTTCAAATTCAACTTATCAACTCTTTTCTGGAAATTCATTTAGAAACTCATTCTTTTTAATCTTTCGTAACTTCTTCATCTTTTGATTTTAAGATAACTTAAGCTTTCCTTAAGCTTAGTTATCATTTAATGATCAAAACCCAACCATAAAATCAACAAATAATTAACTAACAAAGAAACTCACCTTTGACTTTGGGGGTTCACGGTGAAGAAGAAAGCAAGAAGAAGAAGACTTTTCCAAATACTCTTCCCCCCAACGTGTTTATCTCTTCTTAAAGGGAAAAAATATCTTTCATGACAAATGACCATTTTTCCCTTTAATTCCTTTGATAATTACTAAAAACTTTTAGGAAATATTTCTAATTAAATAATTGAAATATTCAATTATTCTACTTTAATCACCAAATTCTGAAATTTTATAATTTGGTCACTAACCCGGTATTGAGGATGTTACATAAACAATATGAGCTTTGACAATATCATGACAAATTTATTGATTTTGAGCTATCCAAGACACTTCTTAAACTTAATTAGATTCTTATCAATATGATTGTCAGACAATTTTGGATACTGAAACCCCAAGCATTTCATAAGGAAACAATTGTCTTTGATTTTTATATTGATACGAGTCTATCAAGTGTAAGAATTATATTTGACAGCTCAAAATCAATAATATTTAGTCATGATATTATCAGATCTTATATTATTTATATATATATGAGTTTTTTTTTTTAAAAAAAAGTGTTTAAATATAGTTCTGTAAACATGTACTCATTAAGTGATTGAAGATAATGTTTATACATATGTGTCATTGTCTTCATCCTATCAATTCGTAAGAATACGTGTCTTCGATATATATTATACAAATTATTTTTTAAAATTTTAATATTTTTTGACCTATAATTTTTATTTTTTATTATAGTGTTAGATAATGTCAATATAAGAAAAGCTATCCAAAAGGACCTTTTAAATAAGTAAAGACCCCCTCTTTGAAATACATTTCCACCACGTCATGCCTTTGCCAAAAAGATATAATTTTGTTCAATAATATTTTTTGGGTATCAATAAGAAAAAACAAAAAAGTTTCATTGAAACGATTTTTTTCTTAAAGGTGAAAAAGCTAGATTTTGAAATCCACATTAATTCTTAATTATCCTCTTTTTAATTTAAAAACAAATACGATTTAAAAGACCTCTCGTATCGAAATTTTTTGGATTTTCTTTACGATCGAAAAATACGGTTCGAAGAGTCGCCACCAATCTTTGATTAGGGTGTGATTGGGCACCCAAAAAATCTTTGTCATTTTAAATAAGAATTAATTTTAATTAAAAATAATAAATTGAGGTCTGCGTTACCAAAAAATGAGTTCGGGAGTCGGTTACGTGTGGGGAAGGATTAGCACCCCCACAATGCCCTAAATCGGTACCTAGTCGCTTAATTAACGTCTTTGCAATGAACTTTACAAATTCGAACTTAATTTGGCTTTTGATCCCATAAAACAAAGATGTAAATTTAAAAAACATTCAACAACACTCAAATAAATTAAATTAAAATTACCAAGTCGTTTTAGAAAGATAAAGAATGTTCGATTATTTACAAATATCGAGACCAGATCTTAAAAGCTATAACAACCTTTTCTCGATAAATTTAAATAAACGAACATTTCCTTTTCTTTCGTTCCCAAATTTTAAGTGACGAATCAATTTGTTTGGTTTCACTTTCGGGATACACTTTTAATTTAAAATCGTCAAAACGACCCTCTAATCAGTTAAGACAAGCCACTCGGGACAATTTTAAATTCAAAGGGTATTACCCTTAGTCCGATTATGTATTTATAAGTTGAGTTATGCACATGAGGATATCATACAATTTGTGCGAAAAGGATGTCATGCCGAAATCAATTAAACAAAATTAAAAATATCATACAACGTGACATACAAAAAATAATATACATATATTTTAATAAAAAAATCATAAACCATGCATATTAACATATAATGTACAAATGTGACTTAAATACAAAACCAAAAACATAACATGTCAAACTATAAATTTTAAAAAACTATATATACATCTTAGAATAAGGACTAAATTTAAATGTACATAAAATTAGACATACAAATCAAAAATTAAAACAGAGACTTAAATAAAAACACGCATAAATATAAAATATTTAAACATAAATAACCCAAAAAATTACAACTAAAACTAAAATTAGAAAAACTATAAAATCAGAACAATTACAAAATGACAGAATTCGAAGGCAGTCCTGACCGTGACTAAAGTAAAAAAACGCTAAACTTATAAGGACCAAATAACAGATTTACTCTAAAGTCTCGGTGACTGAAAATTAATTTACCCTAAACATGTAATATAAAACCTAATTTTTACCTAAACCTAAGCTAACTTACGCAAGAAAGTTCAGCCGCTCAAGCTCTCTACTCTCTATCTCTCTCGGCTACACATGACACTCTCTCCCTCACCTTTGAACACCATTGAACCCACCACTCTGAATCTTATCAGGTTAATCATATTTGTGCCTATCATTATAAATTCATAGAATTGTCATTTTCCATGCCTTATATCAATTATCCATATTTCATAGCTTATGTACCGACTCCTTAACTGGGTAAATTGATTCCCCCCTTTTTGTATTCAAAGAGCGAAGGTAAGTCCTCCATCCTTTTCTAAATTTTAGTTTTAAGTAACAATCGCACATACACAAAGAAAACGAAGAAAAACGAACTGAAAAATAAATAATTGAGGGAAAATTCCTCAGAAAATACATGTACCTCTATTGCTTTTTCTATTCTTGAATTATGAGATTACACTATTGTTCCTTTTGTATCCCTTTTACACTGTGAAATGGCCAATTTGTTCATAGTCTTCTCCCTTTGGTTGCCTTTTTCCTTTTTTCTGTGTTTTTCGTCTCTGGCCCCTCCCATTTCGTACTTCCTTCTCTCTCCGTTGGTGGATAAGTGAATCCCGATTTTTTTGGTTAATTTCCCATATTGATTTGTTATTTCAATATTGCAGGTACACCGAGGCAGTTTTTCAAGCGTGCATCTCATGCGTGCATAGCTGGAACATCATATCACCATTCTGATTCAATGGTTGGGTAACACTTCCATATATAAACCCTAACGGACTACGAGTTCTTCTCGAGTCCTAATCCACTGGACTGCTATCTGGATGGATCGCCCATTTCCACCTTGAATTTGGCTACAAATCAGTTGGATCTACAATCAAATAATACGTGACAAACAAATAATACTAAATTTAATAATATATATATATTTAAAAAATTCGAAACTGACACCATATTATATTTTATTATCTTTCTAAATTACTATATATAACATACTTTATTATCTATTTATCATACTAAATTACTATATAATTATCAACAAATAACATAAAATAAAATAAAATAACATAATCAAAATAAAATTATAAAATAATAGCAAAAAATCTTCAGACGAAAAGACATGTCTACAAGTATTATTGTAATAATATTGTCCAATGGTGGGGGATTAAAAAGTAATTAGCTTAGGTCTTTGACCAATCAAATTCAAAGTTTGCTGCTATGTTGGATATTCCATGACATGGTCCATCTTACTTTGCACCTTATTTGGGCCTCCAATTTTCAACTTAAATGTCCATTTTTCTATTCAAATAATGACAAAATAAATCAAAAAAACAATTTAAGAGAATCCCTGAGGTTAGGTCGTCTGATTTCTATACCCAAATATTACTTCTTTTTAACCAAGGTTTCTCCTCGCCTAGAGAAAAAGAAAAGTCTGATAAATTCTTTGAATCTAAGGTAACCCATCTAAATATTCTCCAAGATTCAATCTTTCCCATGTCTTATTTTATCATTCCATTGAATTTATGTTCAATGCTTCCAATATTTGTTTGAATTTTGTTTTCTGTTTACAAGATTTTTGTTCCTGGATCTGATCAAAATCTCCTTTATCCGAACTAAAGAGCTGGAGTTGTTCTGTTATTCATTGTATTATTTGGGTTTTCTGTGATTTTATTTCTTCGTTTCTAGCTTGAAAGCTAGGATCTTTGGGGTTTGAAAAGACTTGAATTTGGGCATTCATCATGGTTTTTAGATAATAAACAATATTGGCTTGCTTAGCTTTTCGTGAATTAATGTCTATGGGGGGGGGGTCTTGCTGTTAGGGATTTTTATCACTTGGTACTCGAAATCATTATTTATGCTTGAAAAGTGAAAGTTGGGATTTTTGAGTAGGTGTTAAGCGATTTGTTTTCTCCTTCAAATAAAAGAAACATTGCTTTTCTTAGGGTTGAGGATTAATAATTATGGCTTCTGCAGCTGCTGCGGAATCATCTGAATCTGGGTCTGGATTATCAAGTTCCCAGTTGATGAAAGATGAGTTTTTTTGTAACGAGGAAGGTTGTCCTAAACAGGCATCACCTATTAGGGGCAGTGGATCGAGGAATACAAGCCCATCAGGTCGTGTAGGATCGAGGAACACTAGTCCATCCAGGCAGAAGGTGGTAAAGACCAAACCACGGGGTTTAGATGAGGAAACAGTTGCTACATTTGGTAAGGCATTTCATCCTGATGTTCAAATGGAAGATAGCATATGGGCGATGTTGCCTGAGGACTTATTAAATGAGATTCTGGCAAGGGTTCCCCCGTTTATGATATTCCGGCTTCGTTCAGTTTGTAAAAGATGGAATTCGATACTTCAGGATAATAGTTTTCTTAAATTTCACTCGGAAGTGCCATCTCATGGGCCTTGTCTACTTACATTTTGGAAGAACACACAGACTCCCCAATGCTCGGTTTTTAGTTTGCCGTTGAAAACCTGGTATAGAATACCATTCAGTTTTTTGCCTCAGTGGGTCTTCTGGTTGGTCGGCTCTTCCGGTGGTCTAGTTTGCTTTTCTGGACTTGATGGTCTAATTTTCAAAGCTTTAGTATGTAACCCGCTTACACAGACTTGGAGAATGCTGCCAAGCATGCACTATAACCAGCAAAGGCAGTTGATCATGGTTGTGGATCAAACGGACAAATCGTTTAAAGTTATAGCCACTAGTGATATTTACGGTGACAAGTCACTGCCTACTGAAGTCTATGACTCAGTGATTGATAAGTGGACAGTTCATCAGATAATGCCTGCAGTTAATCTTTGCTCCTCAAAGATGGCATATTGCGACTCCAGGTTGTATTTGGAAACCCTTTCACCCCTTGGCTTGATGATGTATCGGCTGGACACAGGATATTGGGAGCATATTCCAGCAAAGTTCCCGAGATCTTTGCTAGATGGTTATTTGGTTGCTGGGACACTGAAGCGACTGTTTCTTGTTGGAAGAATCGGTCTTTATAGTACTCTACAGAGTATGAGAATTTGGGAATTGGATCATGCTAAGATTACATGGGTGGAGATAAGTAGAATGCCACCTAAATATTTTCGAGCTTTGTTAAGACTCTCGGCGGAGAGATTTGAGTGCTTTGGACAGGATAATCTTATCTGCTTCACATCTTGGAACCAAGGGAAGGGCCTAATTTATGACGTGGATAAGAAGGTTTGGTCTTGGATTGCTGGCTGTGCTCTTCAATCATACAATAGTCAGGTTTGCTTCTATGAGCCAAGATTCGACACCTCTGTCAGCTGAGTTGGAAAATTTTACCCCCGGGATGAGCTGTTGAGAGATTAACATGCAACATGTAGTTCCTCTTTTTCTTTTTTTTTTTGTTGCAGGAAAGACGGTATCTTCTTTTGCACAATCATTTTTTCACGCTTCCTGCACATATTTTGACTGCAATTTCTTCTCATTTGGTGGATGGTGCACCAAGTGATCCTTTCAAGCTATCCCTATCACCAATATTTTTAGGCAATTGGTGATATTGTTCCATATGGGGACTCGATGGGGCAAATAGACAGGCCTGAGTTGTACTTTGATGACTAGATGATGGCCGAACTTCTTAAGGGTGTATATCATGGGATTAAAAGAATTGTATGAATTTTTTGCACTGGCCTTTGCATACTAATTTAACTCCTAGTAAATTTCATTTCATAATGTTATAATACTTTCCTCTTCTTTTAATTTATATCGTAGTGGCTGATGTATGTCGTCGTGCTGTCTCCATTTCAGCATATGTAAATTGTCAGTTAACGCTGCTCTTATTGATTTGGGAGCTCTTCTTGATCCCTTTACTTTTTCGATCTCCTGAAATAAATCTACTAAGGCTGTCTGAATTGTCGATAAAGTAATATGGTATATCGTAGTGACTGAAATGTTTCAGTCTTTAGTTGCTTCACCTACAAGGAAAAACAGAGTCTGTAAAATATTTTTTTATAAGAATTTGAGGACCGTTAAAAACCCTTCATAATTGTTAAAATACCGAAAGGTATTTCAACAAAAAAACGGGAGGAAAAGAGTACCTCAAGATTTATTGAATAATAAAAAACATCACAGAGTGCTCGAGAGCAAATGTATGCCTATCCAGGACACTGTCCCATATAGCCCTAAGCAAAACACCCCACCCGAACAAAAAGAAACTTATTAGTCAACCAATTCCTGACTTAGCTAAGGCATCTGCTTCCAAATTAGCAGACCTAGAGATCACGTGTAGAATAACCTCTCTATCTCTAATCCTATCAGTTATATCCTTTACAATGGTAGCATAGTTGATGGGGCAAGAAGCTGGATTTTTTACCAATCCACACAGTTTTTACAATCGCTTTCCATAATCAATTGCCCCTTAGAGTTCCACCTCGAAGCCTCAAAGAAGAGAAACCCGGATTTGATAGCCACCAATTCTACCAAGGCTGGGGTTCCAGGCCCTGATGGTTCCGAGAAAGACCCAAGTACAACACTAGAGTGATCGCGCAAAATACCTCCAACTCCACTTGCTTTCCAATCTCTATTTACTGTTGCACCCACATTAATTTTAAAGAACACCTCAAGGGGAGGGGTCCCAGATGAGGAAGGAGGTGACTGAATCCTTGAGGTTGTACATAAATCCACTAAGGAAGGATCACCAATGAGAGAGTTTATCAGAATGAGAAATTTAGAGAATTTGGCCGAAAACCATACTGCTAATCTAAATCTTGCTAGAAAGAATAGATGAGTTGTATCTAGCACACCCTTTTCAAAGACAATAGCATTTCTAAACTTCCATAACGTCTATAACACAACTCCTTGGTTAAAACTCCAAATGTTTGATTGAGGCACCAAATCCCCCCAAGCTACTAAGAAGGTTGAAGCGTTTACATGAAGGGCCGAGGATACATTCCAGATTTGCAGGAAACTATTCCATAGGATCCAAACTATTCTGCATGAGAAGAATAGATTGCAAACAGTTTTCAATTCAAGCTTACACAGAGGACAAAGAGGGTTTGAGACCCCATGAACACCTCTCTTGATGGGCTCTACCCTTCCAGCCAGCTTCTGATGAATTACTTGCCACATGGTCTCCCCCTTAGGCGGAACCAATCCCTTCCAAAGACGATTTTTCCAAAAATGGTCTACTTCCACCGAATTTGAAAATGCCCTAATGCAAGACTTAACCGAATAGGTTCCCTCTCTATTTCCTTTCCAAATAAGGTCGTCTCTCATGTTTTCACCAAATCTGAAATTGCTATTCTTCCATCTTTGTTGACTGAAAGGGCAAACAATATTGGATATAAGCTCTATAGGGGGGTTTCCATTATCCATACATCGTGCCAGAATAAAATAACCTCCCCATTGCCAACTTGAATTTGTAGAAGATTGCGAAAGCAGGATCCAAGTTCATTATTCTTAAAATGGTTGTTAACAACTCTCCATATCCATGAAGCTTGGGGGAATTTTGGATTATTAAGCACCATGGAGCTATTTCCAAGATTGTACTTGCTGCAAATCAATCTCTTCCACCAAGAATCCTTTTCGTTTGTAAATTTCCAAGACCATTTCCCGATTAAGGCTCTGTTTATTAAGCTGAGGTCAATGACTCCTAAACCCCCCACAGTTTTTTGGCTTACACACTGTCAACCTGTTAACCCAATGGATTATGTCCTTCTCTACTCCTCCACCCCAAAGAAATCTAATCATTATCGTGATTAATTTCCTATGCACATTTGAAGGGAGCCTGAAAACCGATAGGTAATAGGTTGGTAGTGAACATTATACCGATTTCAATAGAACAAGTCTTCTAGCTAGGGATAGTGTAGCTGCTTTCCAACCAACCAACTTGCTATGAAATTTTTGAATAACAGGGTCCCACAAGGCGACTGAATTTTTCTTCGCTCCGAGCAGAAGACCAAGATACTCGGATGGGAAAACATCTACTGCACAACAAATAATCGCCCCCCAGTCTTTAATTATTTCTTCTCCACATTTATACCAAATAATATACTTTTGAAGGAGTTCAAATGAAGCCTAGACATCAATTCGAACACGCACAAAACTTTCTTCACATTCTTGATTTGGCTGATCGACGCGCTGTAGAAAATTATTCAATCATCTGCAAATTGCATCTGCAAGAATCTCTGTTTTTCTTTTCTTCCCAGACCTCTGATATTCCACGTAATAAAGGAGATATTTGACGTAGACACGTTTAAAAACACCCACTAGTAGATAGAGGAATTATCTTCCATCATCCCTTCCCTTCTTCTCCAGATTGATAATTTTGTCCATAAAGGTATGTTTCCCACCTTTAAAAGAAATTCCCGGCATCTTGCACACTTCCCAGGTGGCGTGAGCTTCATCAAGGTACTCCAGGAACGTAGGAGAAGAAGCTGTAAAGGTACTTACTTGATCTAGAGATCCCACAATCAGGTTTCTTTTGGTTCTTCTATACACCTTATCGTAGAATCTAGTATTCTGCTTGCCTTCCGAAGAGCCCCTTCTACTAGGAACTAGTTGATTTTTATTGGAGTTCATTTTAGGATTCTGATGTTAGCCATTAACTAAGACTGGGATAACCAACTCAGGGAGACAGTTGGATCTCTTCTCAACAATATTGTTTTCAATGCTTCTTAGTCCAGCACCCAAGTTTCGTACAACGAGGTTACTCTATCATCAAATTAAGCTGGCCCAGTAATGTTAATAGACCCAACAACAAGCTGATTAGAATCATCTCTTAAAAGATTATCCTCGTAGCCCAGACTCTGTTTCCGAGGACAAGTGCGCTAAAGGCTCCTGTTGATTAATGATGGCCGTTATTCTTTCTCACACCAAAGATGGTTGTCTCGAAGCCCCCGAGGAATTAACTCATGTATCGATCCTTTGTCTGCCACCGGATCTACTGATCTCAAATCGTGAAACAACTCTGCCATAAGAAGCCCGTACAGCTTATTGAGAAACCTGCTCTCACTTCAGTTCTCAAGCCACGTAGTGGGTCTAGCTCAACATCATTAATGTATTTTAGTTTCCTTTCCAACCTCAATGGTGAGTGTATCGAGCCAACGTTATTCTCCATCCCAGGATTGCCACTAATCCGACCATCAGCAAGCCACGAGGCCACTTTGTTTTGAGACTCCAAATGAGTCAGTTGAATATCCGCATCCGCCTGAGAATTCCGGCCCCTAGCACCTCCCCCTCTGATGATTCAAAGTTCCAAATGTCTTCCGAATTTCCTCTAGAATTCTGGTTCGAATTAACTACAGGCTTTATGAAAGCCGATCCAATCTTTTTGTCGACCTTATATGATCTCCCATCTGAAAGTATAGAAATCGACCTTGGAATATCAAAAGGGCTTGCAATCCTCATTATTATCTTCGCAACCGCTAAGTCCTCTTTCTTCTTTGTCTCATCTTGAAGGGAAATCAGAAGTTCCCAATGATTTACCAAGTTTGAGAAAAGGTATTCGTAACCGATTTTCGTCCGGACACGAAATTTTATATGACGGGAAAATAATATGAGTAAAATGAATAAATGGTTTTTATTTAAAGAAATGTTTTGGGAGTCGCCATCGGCCTTTTGGATTAGGTAGGTCGAATACTTAAAAATCATATTTTAAAAGAGTTTTTAAGAAAACATTAGTTAAAATATAAACTGGTATGCGTTTAACCAAAAATTCGTTCTTTTTAATAATAAAAAGGGATTCGTGGTCGATTACATTTGGGTAAGGATTAGCACCCACAATGCCCAAAATTGGTCATTGTCGATTATAAATTGTCTTTAATAATAGAATTTCAGAATTCGAATATGAATTTAATTTACAATCAGGTTATTTCAAATTTAATAAAATATTTCTAAGGAAAAAATATTAAATATATATATAGGGTTTTGTAAATAGGACATTTATTTATTTAAAAATATCAGAAAAGAACATCTAGTTGCTTTAAGACTGTCTTTTCTTTAATATTAATAATAAATAAATATTAATAAGAATATAATAATTTTTATTATATATATATATATATATATATATATATATATTTATAAATAAGATATTTATTTATTTTTAAATACCATAATAGAACGTTTAGTTATTTTAAGACTGTCATTTCTTAATATTTAAAAATAAATAAACATTATTATTTAATCGAATATAATAAAATAATAATTAAAGTACTAATTTAAACATATTGAAATTAAAAGGGTAATAATTAAATAAAATAAATTGCAATCTAATAATGAATAAAATAAATAAAATTAAAACTATAATATAAGCACACTTAACGTTATATTAATAATACCATATATAAATATAATAAAAACAATCTTTATAAATGAATAGAATAAATACTAAAAGAGATTTATATTTTAATAAATAATTATATAATAAAGTCAAATAGTATTAATTTCTATTATGATTAAAAATGGATAGAATGGAAAGTAAATTTAAGATACCAATTATAAATAAATGAAAAGAAAATTAAAGTAAGAAAAAAATAAAGTCAAAGACACAAACATTAAGATTACAAGTAATTAAGGAGAATGAAACATTAAAGGCAAATTAATCGTGAATAGCTAATTGACAACAAATTTGAGAAAGTTTTTAAATAAAAAATAATTGAAATTAAAGCAATTAAATCATATTCATATATAAAATTCATAGTAAAAAATGAGAATTATAAAAATTAGTGATT